AAGGTCTGCATCAGCCAAAAAATGTTAAAACGACGGAGGCGGAGGAGCCTGTGAAGCCGCTACCTGCCTCTGACTTTGAAACATTTTACTCACAGCTATTGTGTTTGACTTTAAAGGTGAATTTTTAATGATGATTTTCTTCTGTTTCTGGAAATGAGATTTTCAGTGGTTAGACACAACGTCAGAAGTTGTCTCAGTCTTGAGTGGGTTCTTGCAGTCTGGCAGTTAGAAGCATTTGCTTATCAGCATCTGTTTCATTATGCGTGAACTCTCTTTTTACATGACAGTGTGTGTGATCACCTTTGCTCTCTATTTTGTAGTCTCAGCATGTGGCGCATTTTGTGAAGCAGCTGTACAGATACTGTATTATTACTTCATTATTATTGTATCAATGAGAGGAGTGGGTATTAACTAACTTGGTGTTAGTTACACTTTTGCATTGCTGTTTCATTTTTGAAACCTTCATTTTTGTCCTTCACATTACTCCTGGCCCAAACCAATTAGTCCTGACTCTGGGAAATAAATAGATTTTGACAATTCTGATAAGCGACAAATGTTATAAGTCATTCATCAATTTTTTATCAGTATTTAATTGGGTTGAGCGATGACTTGGCTGAAATGATTATACGCTCCAGATAATGTATTTTCTAGAAGTACAGGTTTTATAGAGTAAGAGTCAGAGTATCAGAGTAATGTGTTAATATCTGTAGATATAACAACTTTTATTTATAAAAAAACAAGTGTAAATACTTTCTATATACAGTTCTCTGTGCTGAAGCTACATTCTGGGGCTGTTTTGTAAACAGTTTTCTATTATAAATAGCAACTTCTGATCAACCCATATCAATATCAGGCTCAAAGTAACAGCTACCAGTTTAAGTCCTCCCATTCAAGTACAGATACAAATAAGCTGGTTGCACAGATCCAGATAATGGTGTAAATTGGGCTCTTGGAAATTGTGAATAGTATTTTGATTATTTTCTTACATCTTATTATGTGTACTGACTCACTGATTCACCAGTTAATGTCAGAACTTACCAACAGATGAGCAGATAATAGAGATAATTGTCACGAACCTTGTCCCGTGACGCACTTTGTGACTGCTGTTCTGGAAAAGTCAGTACTTCATTATTATTCTATCAATAAGAGGAGCTGGTACTGTCAGCCAACAGGGCCCAGCTTTGTTATAGTTCCACATGTAAAGACTTCAGTTCACTTAATTCATTCACTGCACTTTGTAATTTGATTAAACAAATTTTAGTTTGTTTTTGTCAATTGCTATTTCCAAGATCTAACAAGAACTCTCCTCCAGACATGTATTAGGACATAATATACAAATAATCTGCTTGAAAAAGTAATGTGTGTCTGATGTAATTTTTTAGCAAAAGAACAATAATTTCCACATTAAAATCTCCTCCTTCTAGTTCATTAAAACTTCCAGAATCTCTGAATATGCAAATGTTCATTTCTAAAGTGTTCCTGCTGGACACAAGATGTCTCCTCCTTCACTGTAAAGTCCATTCTCAGTGGATGTGCACTGGTGTCTTCAAGTTTTTACATCACACTTTTGCACGTTGCCCCAGTCACCAACATACCAAACACCATTACAAATCTTACTATAATCACATAGAATAATTAAAATAATAAACATGTATACTAGGGATGTATGACATAGTTTTTATGTTCAGCCGATACAAGAACTGATAATTACCTGCTTCTCATGGCTGATACTGATAAGATAACTGATAATTTCACATCTTTGTATTTTAAAAATAAGTTCACAACCTGTAGTTTTTACACACCTGAGAGTAAGACAGGCTGAGATGTAGTCAGCAAAGATGGATGATTTAATATTCCATAGCTCTGTGCTAACACCATCACTGTAACACAAGAGTTCTGACTCTTCAATGTTCAGTTATTTGTTTTCCGTTCCGAAAACTTTGTCTTTCAAAGATCATTAAAACGCTATAGCTTTGCATAGAAGAATAAATAATCAAAATAAACGTGTTATTATGGCTGTAATGATATCAATAACTCATAATAATATAAATTTCCCATTAACGGTCGATCATTTATCTGTCCTGATAATTATCATGCATCCCTTATATATACCAATCATAGGTCCAACAATTGCAACATTTGGCTGAAATGAAAAAGCCAGCAGTGACGCTAAATGAAGAGTTTGGGTGCTATGAGGGGGCTCTTATTGCTGAGCTGAGACAAATGATGTGAAGCACTGAAAAGAGCCAGAATTCCCATCACTACTAGCTTTCTGACAGGTTTTGATACTCGATGCTTCAAACACATTTTGGTGGTTACCAACGAAGTTTTCAAGACGACGCAAAATAATCAGTAAGAGCGTGACTTTAGCTCTCCGGGATCAAACGTCCTCCATTTTTTCAAGTCCATTTACAGAGGCTTTCCCATAAAAGGCAGAGAATAAGAAAGATTGAGAAACAAAGGCAGACACAGGGAGAGTCAGTGAGAGCAGAGATCAATAGTCACGGCTGCATGGGAGGCTGTAGGAGCCAGCCATTTAGATGAATTACAGTGGCACAGCTTCCCTTTCATCTCACTCAAGGAGAGTGTCTGGAGGGGAGGAAGCAAATTGGTTCTCATCATGCTTAGCAAGGGCTGCTCAGTCTGATTCTGATAGCTGAGTGTCTTTGAACACCCTGATGTATAGTATACGCCTTCATGATATACAAGAGGAACATTTAAGCCACCTATCACAGTCATCTTCTCTTCCAAGAGCACAGTGACAGCCCACACACAGGCTAATCTATCATACTCTGCTCCTCAACGCAGCCATCGTCATATCTCTGTCACAAACCTGCAGCTGTAAGCACATGTTCAGGTGAGGCAGTTTGATAGTTATCAGCTGCTGCTTGGCAGAATAAGAAGAGAAGGGAGGACAGAAAAGAAGATTTCACAGCTGATTTGAATCTGAAAGTGAAGGATAACTTTAAGCACACACAGAGGCACGGTGTTGTTAGCTCTCACTGCATTACGGTCACAACTAAATCATTTTAAACTGCTGCAGATTCAGCCTTTAAGACTAATTCCACTTCAGGAGTTCAGGGGTGGGTCTAGAGGGGTGCCACCCCAATTTGGGGTTTTAACAATTTAACACGTTAATTTAGATTCATTTTAAAAATAACATGATTAAAATCAGTAATGTAATGATCTGTTATGGGCACATTTTAGACTCAGTGAAAGGCATTACATTGAATAAAAAAGACTTATTTGGAAAAATGTCTGAAGATCTGGAAATAAAACAATGTACTGATTTCTAATGCCACCTTTAGATATTTCTATTCAGTGTGTGATTAATGTGCAACAGTAATGTTTTAGAATTCAAATATCTTCATTTGGGGGCTTTTCCAAGCAAATATTGATATTGTTTATGATTAAATCAGCATATATTTCTGCCACCCTCTGGGCACACCATGGATATTTCTCTAGGTCTGCCCCTGCTGGAGTTTCCATTTTGTGTTGAGATGAGACAGAATGAATCAAATTCAGTCTTGACATGAGATGATTTGCATTTGTAAATTAGGAAAGAAAACAGAATAGGATTTTATACAAAAGACACAATGTGAGATAATATTTGTGCCTGCAGCTAATAATGTTTTTAAAAGATTGATTCATCTTTTTTAAAATTAATACATTCTTGACCTTTGAAATAGTAAAAAAACTAATATAAACTCAAGGTCCATTTACTAGCCTTTTCCAGAGTTTTCAACCACATCCCATGGTCTTTTTGTCAAATAGATACATTACCTCATTAAATAAAAAAAAGTAAAATAAAAACAATGACAAATGGCCCTTTTGATTCCCAAGAATTATTCTGCTTACAAACTAATTTTTAAGAAATGTGTTTTTATCATGAATAAATGCTTATTTATTATTACATATTATTATTATATATTATTTTCTGTGAACTCAGTTAAGTACTGTTATTTCTCAATAAGATGGAGACGTTTTGATACATATTTAAGAACAAACACAACTGTGAGCTACAGCCATACATGTTTTCTTTTGTTACCGTGGAGATTTTTAAATAAAAAAATATCTGTTTTTGGACTGAATCACAAACACTGTAGCCTCTTTTAAGGGGATTGCACTGCAAAATGTATTATAAAGTGACATAAAATCAAATAAAAATGTATTTGACAAAATAAAACTCAAAATAGAATTCAAATTGTTTTCTTCTTCTTAACTTAAAGATAACCATGAGATACAGCTGAAAGCTTAGTCATGAGCTTATAAGTGGATCTTGTGTGAAGTTGAGTTTTGGAACTGTTTGTCTAACAATTAACTTTCATGCTTATGTTCATGTGCTTATGTTTCAGCAAGGTTTTAAAATCAAATATTTATTTTCGAGAAGTAGATCCCGTTTCCTTTTCACTTTTGTTTCTCATTCTTGATGTTGGAAGAATTCCTGAAAAAGAGCAGTGTATTCTCACTGATATACAGTAAATACACTCATGTTTCATTTGTTCTTCAAACCATGAAACAAGGAGTAAATGACTTTTTGAGCTGGTTTCACAGAATGCACATCATCTTATGTGAAACCTGGGGAAATAGAAATGTTCTTTAAATCAACAAATTAGTGCTGCAAGTAACAGTTATTTTCATTATTGATAAACCTGTTGATAATTTCTTGATTAATTGATTATTATTCCATAAGTTGTTGATCAGTGTTTCACAGAGCCCAAGCTAACATCCTCAAATGTCTTTATTTGTCCACAACCCAAAGATATTCAGTTTACTGTCAAAGAGGATGGAAGAAAGCAGAAAATATTCACATTGGAGAAGCTGGAATCAGAGAATTTGGACATTTCTTCTGTCTCTGAATAATTAGTCGATTGCCAAATTGATTATTAATTGATAAATAGTTGCAGCTCTAGCAGTCATTTCACAGACAGAACCTTCTTGTAGTCACAAAATCAATGTTTGGATCTTTGCATTTATGTAAACTGTATGTGTTTCTGTAGCTTTCCTGCGACATTGGATGAGTAATTGTGGATGATAGGAGGGTCTGTCTGTCACGCTGCGGGGACGTCCTCCCCGCGCACTGCCAACCTGCCAATCATGACCTCTTTCTGACTGATAGTGATGTGGATGTGTCTGTGTATGACCGTGTACGCTGCTCGTGGATAAATGATCACTAATCACCATCAGGAGATGAAGGACAAGTCTGTAAGTAGCACTAATGCCGCACCCACTCCACCTTTTTTTTCTCTTTGTCAAAACATCGTTTTCTGTTGACAGGAAGGCTGTTTCTTTATTTTTTCCTGTTGTGGTTAGGCTGTGTGAAGCCGAGGCAAACATTTATCACAGTGACACACGCAAACAAAAACTCAGACGGCGCTGTAGTCTGATTCTTTTTATTCATCATCTGTATTTATTTATATTTGACATATGATTTAGACTCCCAGCAGCAACAAAGCTTAGTTATTTATGTATTTTGCTGTAAGATAACATTCTTCTTTTATTTGGGGTAAAAAATGTAACTTTTAAAGTCTAAAAGCTAAAATTCTCCATTAAAACAGACAATTGGAAGGTGCTGGAAGGCTCATAATATCACTGCGTGTTCTCAAACAACAAGAGAGAACCGCACGGCTCGAAACTAATACATTTTTGACAAAGTGTGCATTTCCATTTATAACTAAGTGTTGCAAAGGAAATAAAGCTTCCTTCTCTGACTTCCTTTGCAGGTGCTAGAATATAGCGACTGTAGTAGACTTAATATTCGATGATAATTAATACAACTGTGCCTTTGGTTCTCTCCTATGCCGGTGTGAATCTTTAACAAGCCTCATAACCATTAACAACTCCAGCGATTTACTCACAAAATAAATAAAGGAAACCCAAATTTTTAACCCTTTCCCTCTATTAATACATCAGGAAAATCCCACTGACTATGTGCTAGTGAAAAGGGAAACTATACTCTAAAGTGACGTGCTGCCTACAAATCTCTTTAAGGCAGTTCTCACGTGTGTGTAAAGTCAGAACTCTTATCTCCGCTTTTCTTAATAATCTACCAGCAAACACAAAGGCCTGCTTTGTCCTGGACCTGTTAGTCTCATAGCCAGAGTTGGTGGCTTAGAGTGCGTAGTGGAGTTAAAGCTGCTGTAGTAGGACTACAAGTTGTCAGACTGCTTAGCCCCAGACCACGTGGAGCGCTGGCATCTGCGTGTCGCGCCCTGAGACCAGCTCAGCGTGGATACTTTTACTTCTGCCAGCTGTGGCATGCTGCTCTGGACCTCCCACTGTAATACATATCTCTGAAAGTCCAGCTGGAATCATAATTCACTTTTGCTGAGAGATCACTATATATCTTTTCGGTGTTTGTGTTTACTTGTGTACTTCTTTGGTTAACATTGTAATTACCAAAAAAAAAATGTAATGATCATTTATTTTCTCTCTAATGTGATATATGTCTGGGTGAGCACTAAAAATAGTAATATCTCAACAGCAACCAGGCAAGTCCATGACTCCTTACCCCAGAGTGCTGAGGTCACAGGACTACCTTTTGATGTGAGCCACATCTGGATCCATGAAAGAGAGCCAGCAAATGTTAGTTACCCCTCTCCTTCATTAGCTCTATCCGCCTGGGAAAAGCTACCCTGATGCTTACCTCGTTTTTTGAATTCGCCGGTCACGTTGCCTTTTTAATTCCCTTTTTTGCTTTTTTGGCGACGAGGATTCCTTCTCCTGTGGCTCGGCATAAGTATGATCCTCCATTATTAACTAAAGTGCAGTGCAGACTTTCAAATGTGCCGGGGCAGTGACAAGCGCCTCTCACTGATCTCCTTCTCCGTTATAGCTGCTTTCAGTCACGTGACACTGGCTCTGAACGAAAACGCGTTGTGGATTAGCTAGACAGGTAGGCTAGTGCTTTATGTCCCTCTCGGCAATTATAGTTTTTCCAACTGGCGGAACGACATGGAAGCCAATGTATATACAGATAAGAAATTCTTCGCTTACGAGGATAAGTCAGATCATTGGCAGAGGTAATTTTACACCAATGAGGACACATTTATGAATGAAGACATTGATTTTAGCTAATAAACACTACACAATGTCCCTTTAATATTTCTTATTACTCTACCTAGAGGTTTAGGAAATACCAAAAATGCATGCACAAAATGTCTCCTGCTCCTGTCAGATGAATCTAGTGTGGTTATTAAAATGATGTCAGGCAAAAACTGGAGAAAAAGGAGGGGACGAATATGCAAAAAGAAAAAGTAAATGTAATAAATATAAAGTGACTGTCCCGTCTCAGGAACATTATATTAGTATCCCAAGTGTCCAAGGGGTTTTCTAACAACATTTTCATTTAGTTTGTCAGGAAAATCTATACTTATTTACTTATTTAATAATACTTTTTTTGTGCAATAGAATATAGACTTCAAGGGATTCTAGAGTTTCAAAATCATTATTTCTTTAAGGATATTTTTCTGAAGGCACTGACTTCAGTTACATTTCTACAGGTTTTACTTACTTTACTTTGCTAAAGATCTTTTAAGAGAACTAGGAACACATTGACAAGGAAATGACATGAGAGAAAACTGCCACAGCAGTGAGTTCATTCATCTTGTCCTGAAATATGTGACATTATCTTAGAAAAAATGTACATAGAAAGCAGTCCATCACACTTTATATTTTCTTACATAAAATCAGGAGTTGTGAGATGTCTGGGAACTGCCCGCCCGCTGATGCAGGCTGAGCAGTGTGTGTTTTACAAAGCAGGAGTAATCCAAGCACATAATTCACACATGGCCCATATCTGGAGAGTTTAAGTGCCTTTGCTTGTTGCCCGGGTTTGTGCGAGGCCTCTCAGAAGTATCCGCGCTCAACTGTACGAGACTGTCTGCCTGTCTGCTTCCCATGATGCACCTCCCCATCTCCAGCCTGGCGAAAGGCAGTGAAAGAGACCATTGTTCCTGTCACTCTGAGGCATGTTGCATGCACTTATGACACAGAGTGGGAGAAATGATTCCCATTATACCTCTGGAATGTCTTTGAATCAATCAATTTAGTATGAATACATGCTGTCCTTCAGTCACAAATATGCCTGTTTACACGTTTGGAAGAGAAGAAAAAAGTCAGTGTTATAAGTTCTTAGATCAGAAGCAACACCTTGTTTTATGCTAATTTCCTTCCTCACTGAGGCATTTTTCATTTTTAGCCTGACCTGGAGCAAAGACCACCTCCAGAGCCTGATTCAGACGTCTGATCCTCTGAATTGATGCGGCCTGTTAACACTTTGCAAGAAAACAAGTGGCTTTCAGGACCTCTCTCCCCCTAATTCCTCTCTTTTCTCACTGAGCTTTGATTGATGTGCAGCAAACCACAGTTGGAACAGCTCACAGCCTCTCTCATGGATTTTTCCTGCATGATGTAATGTTTTGATGATCCTCTATGTAGTATGCCATGTGCAGTGACATCAAAACAAAAGAAATATCCCTCCCCCTGAAAAGGTGGACTTCTCTGTCTTCTCAGGCAGATCATTTATGCTTCACATACCATGAGACCCTTTGAGTCCCCTAAACAGGACGTTCTTTTGCTTTGACATGCGTGAGAACGTTTGATTCTCTCTGTTCTCAAGTTCCAAGCTACATAAAATCCTAATAGAAGAGAGGCTTCCTGATCCTATTTCTGCATCTATAAGTGGTATAATTTTTTTTTTCTTCCAATCCTGAGCTGAGCCATAGGAGTCTTAGCCACAGCTACTTGGAGTGTAAACCAAGAGCGCTATGCAGAGGTCATGAAACACTGCCCTATCCGTCAGCAGTGAGTCTATTTTTAACTCTGCTGTATCACGTATCACCTCTTGCCATTTTGTTCTTTTGTTCGGCGAGGAGGGATATTTTGGGACACTCTCGGGTAGCATGCAAGGCGGAACCTCTCTCCGACAATTGATCTTGCCTTTTGCTCCGTGCGTGTGTGAGGCGAGGTGAAGCCCACGCCTGCCACTGACCTGTTGCAGGGGTTGAAAATGTGCTCTTCCCATTCATTAGGCTAGGCGGTCTGCACTGCTACCAAGCGCTTTCACTACATCTGTATTTGTGGTCTCTGATAGGATCCAGATGGCAGTCTGGAACACCCGTGTGGACCTCGTATGAGCCGCACATATGGCAAACAGTATAGGAACATTTAAAGGAGCCTTGCACACGGGTCCCTCTCCAAACCTGTAGTGTCCCATGAGCGTGATTTAGATTTTGGATGGGATTATAAAAAGTGTCATCAGAACACATCTAAGACAGCAGTGTTTTCTGACTGAGGTGAAAAGCCAGCCATCATAGACAGGGTCAAGATGTAAGGAATCAGGGTAAATTCACACACTTTCAGACAGTCTCTCCTCAGAGGCATTCACAAGGTTGCGTTGGGTTGTACACCCAGAAAAAGTAGTTGCAGAAGAGTGAAAAAAGACCTGGCCAGTGGCTGATTGTTGGGTTGCCAGTTTGGAAAGTCACCAAACTCTTGACAGACGCAGCGCCCCCTAAGTCCAACATCAGAAAGGTGTGGAGGAAGGTGTTTCAGACACTGTTGGACAGTCTGACAAGCATTATTTTAAAGCATACTGAGCCCTTGTACATCATCCCATTCTTCTTAGAGGCACCATAGACATACTGCTGGAATAGGGATGTCACAATACCAGAGAAATTCCACGATTTCATACCACAGTAAAAAGCAAAGACAAAACAACAAATCCCATGTACTTCAACATATAATCCTTTATTAAAAACATTTGAATATAAAATACAACAACAATGGAATGTAGCGTTTAAGTAATAAATAAAAAGAAACAACTACTCTTTTCCGTGCTCACTAACCAAACAGGAACTACTGGTTGTAATTAAGTGGGTCTATAGGGTTTTATAAGCCTATAGGGTTCAAACATTAAGAACAGATACTTCACCCTTCAAACAAACATTTGTAAAGTGGCTTTTTTTTTTGTTTAGAGTGATCAGGACAAGACTGTATCTCCTTGAGGGAGAACCCCACAGACTTGTCTGCTGCTGTATTTGTTTGGGTTGGGTTATGATCCTCCCTTCCAGCCTGCTGCTGCTGCTCTGTTTTGCTCAGATTTTTTTCTCTGCTATGAATGTGGTGGGGGAATGTGCGTGGGGCGGGGTAAGGGGTGGGCAGCGCAGGAATTCCTTCTCACATGGCTCATCTTGCGTTTGCTC